CTTCATCGCGAGACGGGTACGAGTGGCGATGTTCAAAAAAGGGTTGCGATGGAATGGCTTCAATGCGCCGGAATTCACCGGTGCGCACACACAGGGTATCGAAAATACATGGTGGGGAATCAAGCGAGGTTTGCCCCAAACAGGAACATCCAAAGGACTTTTCGATGGCTACCTACAAGAATATATGTGGCGTCAGCACTACGGAAACGATCCCTTTGGAAACATTATCGAACGTATCGCCCAACTTTGTGAAGTCCAGAAAGACTAGATACAAAGGTTTCTTTGCATCGCTGTATGCACCGGCCTTCACGAACAATTTTCATCACTAGGACACGAAAGGATAATGAAAGAATCAACCAAAATCACAAGAACAGGTAAGACACAACATTTATTTAAACTTTGCATTGACAAACTTCAAAGCCTGACCGTAGACTTAACGTTATTTTCCGGCCAATTTTACGCTTTCAAAGCGAAACTGAACATTCAGTTATATTTCAAAATTAAAAACCTCTGGAAAATTACTTGAGTTTTCTGTTTTGCAAAGCCAAAACGCGCCAAATTTACCCTGTTTCAAAAAAGACTTAGAAAAAAAATCCAAATTTTCAAAACAAAGACTACTAGTCTCTGCGGAGTTCTATTGTTATCGCTATTGTTTTAATTGAACAAAGACTGAATGCATAATTAATGTATGGGGTTATATGGTACTCTTGCCAAGATTTGTAGTTTTCCCTCTAATATATGTGATGCGTGAATTTTACAGTGTGATGCATGAATCAGTGAAATAGCACGAGGCGATTTGCTTCCTGAAACATGCATGACTTGTGAATTTTTATCTCAGTTTGTTAAAGCTTCTTGAAAGATTTTCCAGAGACTGTGCAAAAGAAGAAAGATTTTATCTATATTACACTTGAATTTTTTTAAAATAATTATGTACATGGAATGGGATCTGAACCCCCCCCCCCCCTGCTACCCTCTTGATGTTGATTCCAGTATTTTGCTAGGCCCAATTTCTGCTGTGGGCTCCGCTTCCCGAACAGCAGCTGGTGATTGAGTGATTGAGCCCAGTATTTTGCAGGCTCCAGTCATTTCATGTATTCCTTGTAGATTATTATCATAAGTTGAAATGTGTTTTACCTCTTGAAGATGTTAGGTTAATAAATGAATGATGAAATCTAGAATAAAGTAGATCATGATCAATTTAAAGTGGATGCATTCCTCACATTCAAATAAGCACTTTTAGCAGCCATCTTCTCTGTGCATCCTCAGAAGATACCTTAGGCCAAAGGGTTCCCCTGCTCCTTGAAAGTCCTTGAATTTAATTTTTAATTTTCAAGGACTTGGAAACCCTTGAATTTAGACTCAGGTCCTTGAAAATTTCTGAAAAGTCCTTGAAAATAAGCACAGATGAATCAGGGTCAAATTTTTCTTTTGTTTTGGGTGTCGAACGTGTAAATCGTGAAAATGAGTTTTCTTTTCAAATCCCACATCTGATTATGATGTTTGACCCATGATTTTTATATATTACAAAGACATAAGTGTGTTTCTGTCACTTTTAACAATAAAGAGCAATGTTTTTTTATTTCTATTAGCTCATATTTAATGCAGAAGGCCCTTGAATTTGAGAGCCAAGGTCCTTGAAAATGACCTAAAAAGTCCTCGAAAGTGCTTGAATTGGGTTCCTGAAAAAGTGCAAGAACCCTGAGGCCATATTCAAACAATAAAATTGCGGTGAATTTGAGTACTCTAAACCATGTACTACATCTAAATGTCTTTCCAAGAAGTAAACTTACTTACTTTGCTGGTAAGTAAGTAAGTAAAACTTTATTTACGCAGGGTAGCCCATTCAGCTCAAGGCTGGTATCCATAGAGGCCCTGTTTCTTAAAAATAAATTACATCAAAATTTTCAATTATTTATATATATGACTAGGATTTTAAAACTACATTAACAGTGTAAGACTAAAAAGCCAAAACACAATTAAGACCTAAAATAGTAGATAAAATATCAAGTTAAGATAAAAAGAAATATCTTGCTCTGGGGCACAACATTTGAATGTTTTCACTCTTCACAATGTTTAAAGGGAGTTTATTAAAAATTTCCACACAAGAAAGGTCCTTTCCCCAAAATTTTGTTTTACTTTTGGTAGGGATAGCCTCATACTTTGCTTTGTGGAATAGTTGTGAATATTCGAAAATATGGTAAAAGATGATGAAAAGTAACTAGGAACTAATGAGTGAAGACAGAGAAAAATGAGTTTAGCTATGTGGTAATAGCGTCTAATGGAAAGATACGGCCATTGCAGCTGCTCTATTGCTTCAGATGAGCGAGAGCAACTTGTAATAATCCATGCAGATCTACTTTGTAAGCGCTGTAGTCAATCTATATCTTGCTGTAGAAGGTTACTCCAGGCAATGTCACGGTAATCAAATAAGGGAAGAATTAAAGCATTAAGAACAAGTGCTGCTGCCTTCTTTGTGACAAATCTTCTAATATGGCCCAGAATACTAACTCTTGACGCCACCTTTTTACACACATAGTCCACGTGAGCCTTCCAAGTCATAAAATTGTCAAATACCACGCCTAGGTATTTAAAAGTAGTTTCACAAGATATGGACTTTCCAAAAAGATTAAGATTTAAAATACAATTGCTCTCTCTATGCCTTCGAGATGTAAATAGTACACACTTAGTTTTTGAAACATTGAGAACAAGATTGTTGTCTTCTAAACATTCATATAGATACTGAAGATCTTGGTTAATGTAAAAGATTAAATTTTCAACTGTTTGGCCAGCAAGATATAAAACTGTCATCAGCGTACATATTTACAGAACAGTGTTTGACACAACGTGGTAAACCATTAATGTAGACAATGAATAACAGGGGTCCAAGGATGGATCCTTGCGGCACTCCACAAGTTATGGCAAGCTCTTCAGATGATTGAGAATCAATGTGCATGAACTGCTTTCTTCCCGTGAAGTAGTTCTCAAACCATGGAAGGCTTTCGTCACATATACCATAATACTCTAATTTTCTAAGCAAAATGTCATGGTCAATCGTGTCAAAAGCCTTTGCCATGTCAATAAACACAGAACCGGTGACTAAGCCCTTACCCATATTCATGAGAATCTCGTCGGCGAAATAAGTTATTTATGATTTATTTACTTTTCAGAAAGCTGCAATACCTATGCTGCAGTTGCTGTCATTTGCTGTTCTCCTTTTCCTCCCATACAATACAGCTCCAACCATTTTGGTCTGGTGCTATCAAAAGCTTCTTCAGTGCTCAGAATTTGCATTTTTGTTTGTTGAAGCAATACAAGTTGTTTTGGCTGTGATGTACATCAGTCAATCTTTGGTGAATGAGATTGAAGACCAACCAGTTATTGTTAAGGTATCCTATCTAACTAAACCTCTGTGGGTCTTCAGCAACAGTAGCTCTGTTCATTTTCATATTTACAAGGACTAAGTAGTCTTAGGTTGTGTGTTTTTTGTTATTTTGTCCACGCAATGATTGAGATTGTGCATGGAATGTGTAATCAGCAGCTACATGTATGGGTGATTTTAGATCAATTTTAACATAGTTATTTAAAGTGAGCAATAGTGATAATATAATAAAAGCTGACGTTTCAAGCGTTAGCCCTTTGTCGGAGCGAATAGAGGAATTGTGGGTTGTGTGTGCTTTTAAAGGCAGAAAATGGAGCTACATTTTTGGTGGGAACGTGGCAACGAGAAAAACATGAATAAATTAGCGGAATGAAAAGTGTTCGTTGATCCCTGTGGGATTTAGACTGCCGGTTTGAAAGATGAGCTTTTGTTCAAGATTTTTATGGCTTTCCGTGCTACCTAAGTGTAAGGAAAGACCGCAGATTGCCATATGTTGCTTAGAATGATTAGGTCTTACCTAGATTAGGTCTTACCTTAGAATGATTAGGTCTTACCTAATCATTCTATCCAAATTATTTTGTTACTCCCACCAACGCAGCCCCAAACAGTTTCTTTCGAAACAATCAGCCTTTATTCTTTGATAATTTAATAGT